CCAACTGGCTCCTTCTTCTGCAAAGACAGAAAAACACACGGTCACGCGGGGCCCCTACCGTGGTGCGCGCCGGGCCACGCGGGGCCCCTACCGCGGCGCGCGCCTGGTCACGATGCAGCTCAGGCTGCAGGCAGAATGTTTTTTTCCTGGACCACAGGCACACAGGTCCAGTGCATCCACACCGCTGCTGTCCCCCGGCTGCCTGCGGCCTCACCTTCATCTTGTCCCCGATGGTCTTGCTGCACAGGTTCTTCAGCTTGTTGAGGTTGTCAGCCTGGAACCGGCCTGCAGAGGAGAGCAGACAGGCGTCACTCGTTACCCCGAGCAAGCAGCTCGCAGGCGCTGCCCTGTCCTGCGGTCGCAGCTCAGGTGAGTTCAAAGTGCGAACTGATGCAGTAGTTAATGAACCAGAAAGACTGACAGCATGGTCCCCCGGGACGGGTGGCGAGGGGAACAGGGCTAGCAGACATGGACAGTGCCTTGCAAGCAATGACCAATTCTGTGGAATCCCGAACAAAGTGTGCACATTTTTTAACATGGCAACTATTTCAATCAAAACATGAATATTCCAATTAAATACCTTTATAGGTTAGAAAATTAAATGCCAGCAAAACGTCTGAAGACAAATTAAAAACTACAATGTTAATTTTACAAGCATTCCCCCGCTTTCCTATGGCAAACCTACAGTCGACTGTCTGTGCGCAATTAGTGGTCCACAAGATTTCAGAATAACTGTATCAGTACGGACCCTCAGTCAGGTAGTGAAGATTAAGCAAAGATTCAACCATGAAGACCAAGGAGCTTCCAAAACAGCCGAGGGATGAAGTCATAGAAGAACACAAAACAGGGAAAGGGTATATCAATTTTCACAGATATGAAATATCCCTTTGAACACAATGAAATTGATTGTTAAGAACCACGTACCACCCAGACACTGTCTGGGCCACACTGTCTCTCCAGACTGCGCAGCCAGACAAGGGGCAGCCAGGTGAGGGATGCCACCACCAGGCCCAGTGTCTCTGAAAGAGCTACAGAGCTCAGACGGGAGAAAATGTGCACCAGTCAATAATAAGCAGGTCACCCAACAAAGCCAGCCTGTCCAGCAGAGTGGAAACCCATCTCAAATCCCACATGGAGTTGCAATAAGGTATTTAAGAGGTACTGCCAACATGTGGCAAAAGGGTTTGTGGTCAGGCAAGACATAATTGGAACTTTATGGTCTAAATGCAAAGTGTTTATACAACAGGAACCCAAAATAGCACATGACCCAGTCAATACCACCCCTAGCATGGGGTGGCATCTCATCAGCGGAGACTGGGAAACTGTCAAGACTGAGGGAAACCTGCTTCGGGCAGCTAAAGACTTTAAGCTGGGATGAAAATCTACTCTTCCACAGGACAATGTGCTAGAACACATGGCATACTGGGGTGGTTTAATAAAGTCAACCACCAACAACTGACTCGAGTAGCTGAGTATTTATGCACTCAACAAATTTTTCTGTTTTGTTTTGCCGTTTTTCCTGACATTTCTTAACACCAATAAGCGCGTTTAATTCGAGCAATCCAGTTCTGATCCAAGATATCCATGTGTACTGTTTATTTGTAATGCGACGCAATGTGACATCGTGGAAGAGGGTGAATACTTTTCCTCTGTTCATTTTAATTGCCCCCTCGTTTCGACTCCACGTCCTTAACTGCCAGCAGAGGCAGCTGTAGGAACCTCAGTGCGTGGGGAGAAAGCCCCGGATGGCGCCGACTGCACCAGCAGTTTAAACTGCGAAGCCTTGACCGCTTGTTGTGACTGATCTGCCGAGAGCACATCGCGACAAAGCAGCGCCGCTGCCCGCACGACACGCCGATGACACGGCAGCTGCACAGCGCCCACACCCTGCCCCAGGTCCACGCTGTTGCGGCACGATTGCATCAGCTCGTCGTGGATGGGCGATTCCACGCCGCGCGGTCTAGCCCTGCCTGCTCAGCCCCTCCTCCTTCACCCACGCCGCGCTCAGCTGTCAGCAGCGGCCCGGCTCGGCACTGCGAAAAGCTCGGGTTTGACACGAGTGGACGTGACAAGCAGTATGAAAAAGCATGACGTCTAAAAGACTTCACTCAAGTTTACGTTTCTCTAAACCGTACCTGCCTTGAGACCGATCCCCATTCAGATCAGCCTATTCAGCGCTATCTGACTCAAATGTCTGCAATAAACTATAAGGCACCTGCTCACGCACAGTGATTATTTGCCAAGAAGCGATTCGCTCTCAGCAGACCTCGAAGTAGCATTATTTATCTTATTTTGTAATAAATACAACAACTTCTTTCCCAACCCACATTTCCTCCATTCTTTGTCCGCTTCCACCAGCTTATCCACGAGCGTGACATCTTTGAACCGCTTCGCCTGAGTTTCTCGCACGGTCTCCGGGTTTCCGCCTTTGTCCGTGCGGAATAGGTCCAGATCCAGCACCATTCTGCCGCCCCTCGGTTCTCTTCCCGGTCCCCTGCGATGAGCTGTGTCTGCTAGGCTCAGCGCGACGAGTGCTGACGCTCTACAGCCTCTCAAACCGCAACCAGCAGCACACTGAGCAGGAAGACCGGCTGACGCCACAACCGCAGAGGCAAGAGCAGCCCAGTTCGAGCGAGCGATCTTTCGCTGCAGGGAAAGACGCCTGGCGCCTCCTGGCGGCGGGATGAATATATACAGCCAGATGTGGTCTTCCGTGCTTAACAGCAATCGTTAAAATAAGGTTTTAAGATGTGAAAGTTTTGGCGATACTTTGCTATTAATTAGTCCTGCCAGCTAAGCACTTTGAATGAGAGAGTTAGAGAAGGAAGCAGACAGGGGGCTAATGAGGGAGAGAGATCCTTCACATTGTGATTGTTTCAGATCTACACCTTCACCTCAGTGCGCAGGTGCAGACATGAGAAAGATTAAAAGCCTCTCAGGGCTGGACTAGCCCTCCCTGTGGCTCCCTGCAGCTCCCTGTGGCTCCCTGTGGGCCCCAGCAGCTGTGATAGTGACAGGGCAGTGAGAGGGCAGAGGACGAGGCTGGGCAGGAGAGGGGGCGGCACAGATCCCATCCCACTCTGCTCTGGAGAACAAATAAAAATCATCATAATTGCTTACTCTTATATAGCGCTTTTCTGGACACTCCACTCAGAGCACTTTACAGGTAATGGGGACACTCCTCCACCACCACCAGCGTGCAGCCCCACCTGGATGATGCGACGGCAGCCATAGTGCGCCAGAACGCTCACCACACACCAGCTCTCAGTGGGGAGGAGAGCAGAGTAATGAAGCTGTTTCATAGACAGGGATTATTAGGGGGCATGATTGATAAGGGCCAAATTTGTCCAGGTCACCGAGGTTACAGCCCTACTCTTTTCGAGAAACGCCCTGGAATTCTTAATGACCACACAGGGTCAGGACCTCAGTTTTACGTCTCATCTGAAAGACGGTGCCTTTTTACAGTATAGTGTCCCCATCACTACACTGGGGCATTAGGACCCACACAGACCGCAGGGTGAGCGCCCCCTGCTGGCCCCACTAACACCACTTCCACCGGCAGCCTTAGTTTTTCCCAGGAGGTCTCCCATGCAGGTACTGACCAGGCGTACGCCTGCTGAGCTTCAGTGGGCTGCCAGCTGTGAGTTGCAGGGTGATGCAACTGCTGGCAACTGGGAGCACAGAAGAATGAGGACACTGAGCTGTAAGGAGACCAGGGACCAGGGAGCCTCAGCTGCACAAGCACCCACTAGGATTAACTGGGTTCTCGTCCCCTGACTGGGGTGCCCGGCTGGTGTTGAACTGGCCTAGTTCTGATGGAGTTCAGCCATGGCGTGTCACCATGACAACGAGGGCCCAAGAATGCCGCGACAGGGGCAGCAGACAGGGCGGTTCTAAAGTGGAGGGCTCTACCCCACTTCTTCCAGAGCCCCAAGAAAGCTAAGGCTGAAACCCCAGGGTGTGCTTCACTCTTCCAACATGCTCCTGTTTGCACAGCATCAGACTGGAAATGAAGAAGTGAGGATTTTCCCCAAGGCTTGTTTCCAGCTATGTTGTGAAACCTGGCCATGGCAGACAGCTCTCTGGGGAAGTGGTTTGGGTCGTGCTGGATTACAGTTTCACTTCATGGTAGGCTGGCCGAAAGCCACAGGAAGGAGTGACTCCATTTCTCCAGCACGACTGTTGTTGCAGTTGTCTCCGGTCGTCATCATGAGGGGAACACTGCTCGTACTCCTCTTCCTCACCACAGGTAAGACCACGTCAGCTGGCAGGCTAGAGCGGGAGACACTGTGTCCCAAGACGAGACTGCCTGAGCCGAGCCTGGGTGTGGCGAGGGGGTGAGAGGTTGAAATCCCAGTTGGAAACACCATCATCGTGCTTTAGCTCACCAGTTAGGCTAAATGGGCATCAGGACTGAATTTGTGAAAGGACGGGTAACGTTGAAAGACAGAAGTACTGAAATGTGCGAACAGATTCACTCTTCTAGACGGTTTGATTTGTCCAAGAAAAAGTGCAAATTCTTACAAAATTATGCAATACAAAAAGGGTTTTTTCAGTGGGGGACTAATAACAAAGTCTTTGAAACTTGGTGTCTTTTTATATGTATAAAACATCTCAAAACAATATGTACAGAACTTATGAGACATTTTTCAGATTTGAAGTAGTTCAGATTGGTAGCTGTGTCAGCATGCGTAAGCTGTAAAGGAACAAGTAATAGGTTTATTCCATGCTGAAAAAAGAAGAAAAAAACACAACGGTTCGGCCGAGGAGCCTTCTTCGGGTGCTAAAATGTTTTTAAATATTGAATTTTATTTGTGTGAAAATGTTTGTAATAAAATTGTACCACATTCTGACAGCCTGTCAAATAATGACCTGTCTGGTGATGAAATCAGAATGAGATAACAGACTGTCAGCCCAGTGGGGACTGAAAGACAGAAGCATTGAAATGTGTGAACAGACTCACTCTTCTAAATGGTTCAATTAGTCAAAGGAAAAGTGCAAATTACATTTTGTCCTCAATTTCCTAAATCAGAAAAAAATAGTTGATCTGCTGCACATTGTAAAACTCAAAGAAAGGCTGCAATGAGAGCAGACCGGGATTTCTCATTCACCTTGTTTTTGGCTCTTCAGCTGTGTCTTCCCTCACTGGGCCCGAGCGCCTCACAGTCTACACTGGGCGGAGGACAGAGCTGTCCTACTCCTACAGCAACGAGTACTACTTCAGCCATCGCAAGTACTGGTGCCAGGGCTACTACAGGAACAGCTGCCAGGTTGTAGCGTACGCCGACGAGGATGGCGCAGGGGCGGATGTGCAAGTGCAGGACGATAAAGAAAACGGGCGCATAACTGTCATCATTAATAGCCTGTCGCTAACGGACCCCACGGATTACTGGTGTGGCATCGAGAGGAATCACCTCCTGGACATCATGGCCTACACCAAGCTGGACATCGTCGAAGGTGGGGCCTGAGCCAGACTAGCGCAGGCTGCTTCTGGGTAATATCGCCACTCCCACCTCGCCCAGCGGGAGGCGCTGCTGTGTATAGGCATCCAGGAAGCCACAGAAATAGGGTTCAGTGTAACCTGTTGATATTTGTTCACTTAAGTCATTTGGAATCTCTACGGTACTAGTTAGGGTGAATTAGTGTCCCATAAACTTCAGATCAGGTGTCCTTGTGCAGTGAGTACAGTTTAATTAGCAATATTTATTTAAATAATGAGCTAGCCATGGCGCTGGTTCAGACTGAAAGGCGTCAAACTGTTGTCCACAACTGAATAAATGTAATGATCATCTCTACAGCACCTCAGATATAGAGCTCTCAGGTTTACCTACAACACAAATCATTTGCTTTTTGCCATTTTGCAAGCACCTGTCTTTGCTAAAGTCACCCCATTTAAAAGAAGCTCTTGGCTGCTCTTCAGAGTCGAAGATGTGTCCATGCCAGTGCCCCCCTATTGCTCTAGGTGCACACAGTCTGTGGTGGGGCACTGCGGGTGGCAGGGTCAGTTGCGCAGTGCAGAAGCAGGCTGCAGTCTTTAGTGCAGTAGCTGCGCAAATGGGGCAGGAAACTGGAGTCATGTGACCTGACCACAGGAAGCCTGAGAGCCATGTGCCAAGAACAGAAAGTACATGTGACAGATGAATCTGTGTTCCTGTGATTCTGCTTATGTGTATGTTTTTCTTCTTTTCTGCTTTCTTGTCTCAGACTTTGTGTTTATCACATTCATAGGAAATATTATTGTTAATTTGAAAAGTGGCCTAGACTCAAGACAGTGAGCTCTCAAAAGCTCACAGTAAAAACGAGCAGAATGAACAGACCCAGCTGATGCAGGAATCTAACACACTAAAAACGACTTAAACAGAAATCACCTAAGATGGATAATATGATCTGTCACAATCTTTGATTGTACAATCAAAGGCTCCAGACATTTATAGTAATTGTGGAATTACTGAGATCCTGATATTGTAGAATGGATCTGCAGGATGAGAAAGGGGCTCAAGTTGGGACTGTTCACTGAGGACACTGTCCTGTCAGGCGGAGAGGACACAGGGCTGTCCAGAATGGGGAGAGGGTAAACAGCCCAGTTGTGTGATCTCAGGTGCTGTGGTCCCCTCGTCAGACACAGACAGTCATCATGTGGTTTGTGCAGTACATGTGGTCTCTCTTATTAATCACTGCTGTTTTCCCTTCTGTCTCTGTTGTGTGCAGGTTCCAAGGAGCGCCATGCACGGTAAATACATATATTTAAATCTTCTGCTCAGTACAGTTAATTGTAATTTATTGAGGTAAGTGCTGTGGAATTGATTAAATCTTAGAAGGGGACGCAGATTTAAACTGTCTTGTGGAGTAGCTGTGTGCAGCCTCAGGCGGTGAGCGATGCTCAGAGACACTTGTGTTCCTACAGCCTGGACGCCCCTCTGGAGTACATCTTGCCCTTCTGCATGCTGGGCGTGCTGCTGCTCCTGGTTGGCATAGTGTTCCTGGTGAAGTTCCTGTGCCAGCGCAGGAAGGCAGCGAGCTCAGGTGAGAGAGCTGTGCCAGGGACATGGTAGGTCTGCTTATGCAGAGGAACATAACAAGCAGGATATGTGTGGCACGTACAGAACATGTAATATATTCATCAGGTATTTGTATGCTCCTATATATAAAGCACTTGTGATGAAAAGTGCTATATAAATGTAAAGAATTAAAATTAATATTATGTTGTAGTGTAGTACTTATTATATTCTTGTTGTGCCTTTGCCTTCTAAAGTGTTTTGCATAGCCACCTATGTTCGCTATCTGCAAATCCACAAGTGCTCTGACAGATCCAGATCTCAGCAGGTAATGATGATGTCATCCCACAGGAGTCCTGCCGCTGGGGGAGGAGCTTGCGGGGGACAGCCAATCAGGGGACGAGGTAGGTTCTGACTTCATAGTGTGGCGACCAGGTTTCCTCCCAATCCCCCCCACCACTGATCACCCCCTGATTAACCCCCAAATCATCTCCTGGAAACCTTGACCTTTCCTGCTGAGCTACAAATGTCCGGATTGCTGGCAGCCGATGGCCTCTCCCTGATAACAAGTTACGTATCAGAGTTCTGTATGGGCACTGGGGTCTCACAGCAGCATGAGGTAATCACACAGCTCATCACCGCACGCTTCCTCTGATTTCTGAGCTTTATTGGAGGCGTTTTGACATCTGTTCTGCACATGATGGGTCGATCAGGTAAACGCACAGATGACTGCAGAAGCTGGGCCGTGGTCCTGAGAGACTGACAGGAGCGTTCTTGCCGTCTTCGGGCTGTGCTGAACGCTTTCTGTCGTCGTTACCTCTTGATCCACCGGCGGGCTCCTCCAGTGCTCCAGCTGTCTGGGAGAAGGTTGTCCTGTGTGCTGCCTGACCAGCTCCTGTCTCCTGTGCCGCAGGCGGGGCAGAGGCCGGACCACAGGGTGATTTACACGGCGGTGAAGGAGGGCGCCAGGTGGTCCTCGCGGGCTCCAGGGGGTGCTGCCGCAGGGGAGGAGCCCGAAGCCAGTGCCAACATCCACTACAGCGACATTGAATTCGTATAGGAGCCTGTGGGCGTGCTCGGACAAATAAACTCTCCAGAAAGTCCCCTGGTCACGGCTGCATGCTCTCACCACAACAAGAGACACTGCTCTACTGCCGCGTGGTCAGGCCCAGGCACTGTGCCAATTTCACCCCGTCCAGCAGAATCTCCAAGTCACTCTACAGCAGAAACAGCACAGGACCTTTAAGTGTTAAAATAATCCATACAATTCCGATACAATTCTGTACTCTCTACGGGTCTGCCTTCTTCAGTGGGCAGTGATAGACAGAGCCTCCTCTCCTCCAGGGCTTTACAGGTGCTGTCAAAGGGCTTTTCAGTTAACAAATTAAAGACTACAAAACACGTGGTGTCACTGGAACAGCTATCTCAGTGAGATATCAAGAACACCACAGGACCTGTAGCCCTTCAGGACAGGAGTTCTTTATCCCTGTTTTAATCATAAAAAGGTTTCACCACAAACCCGTAGCTCCGGGGGCTGGGGATACAGTTCCCGAGGTCTTAGAGTAATCGGAGCAATAAACGCAGAGAAAAACTTCCTGTCGCTTCCTGACTGTCCTTAAATAGGTCCGACCGCGGGCCGACCGCAGACCACGTGGCTCCAGAGCCGGGGAGCTGGGCTTTGCACCTCTTCCTGCGAGTGGGCCAGTTCGGCTCGCCCCGCCCCCCGGCCCCGTCTTTCTGTCTGTCCGGGTAGCGCGTTCCTGCTGCGGACGGGTGCGGGGGGGCCGTTTCAGTCTAGAGCTTTGCACTGCCCAGAGCGGGACAGATACTTTTCTGTCAGAGCTGTGGTCACCTGTTTCCTGTAAACCAAACGCTGAGACCAGAGGCTTCGCAGATCCCCAACATTCTGCCTCGCTGTGGAGAAGCTGAGCTGAGCGCATCAGGGGTTCGGAATTCAACAGAATTAAAGACGAATAAAATGGGCTTTTGGACCACCGCTCTAGTGCTGACAATTACAGGTAAAGACACTAGAAATCTTACGACTTTGTATTGAATGCAGATACATTTATACATAACGAGGTTTATTAGTAGCAATAATCTCATTACTTATTAACTTGAAAATTAAAAATGGTGTTAATCTAAAGTATCAAATATTGTGCAATTAATGGGTTGCAAAAGTAAAACTAGATACATCTTTTATAATCACTTAAGTACCACCTATAAAAGTTAAATCATTTACAAATTTCAGATAATATGATTCCTAAATTAATCTACACAAAAATCACGTTTAGTGTACTGCATATTATTGCAAAAGAAAATGTGTCGTGTAATGGTTTGTAATTATTGATTTGATGTTATCGTTATGAATTGTCAATTCCAGTTAGACTATATTGATGCTAAAATCACTTCAAAAATGTGATCTGATATTCATTTCTAATATTTGAAAGTGTATGATTACTGTTAGCAACAAGAAAGCGCACAGTGTCCTGACGATGACCTTTTCAGGGCATGATGAAGTGTGTACTTCTGCTAAGTGTGTATATCGAGAACTAAAGAAAAGTAAACCATAACCCAGCGCAAGAGCGAATGGGGTCATTAAATAGTCTAATAACAACAGAATTCGAAATTGTGTATCATGGTTATATTTTTCTATTTTTCTAGAATGTCTTCAATACTGTGCTATTAGCGGAACTACTGGGTTTTCATAAACGTTAACATTTCAGAAAAAGGTGGTTATAATCTTATCACTACTGTTTTGTTTGTACTGGTTTTAACATACTTTTATCCAAGATGTTATGAATGTTCGAATAGTAAATGAAATGTAAATGATAAAAAATATGTAGAACAGCAATTTATATTTATACTTGTGGTGGTGCTGAGAAATGTTATTATTGCTATCGTGATTTTTCATTTATGTAATTTAATTCATCATAGTATTGTCTTATTGTTGTTTTATAATTTCTTTGTTAGCCTTTTATTAAAAATCATTAACAGTTCATTATTATGTCAGACGATAAACCTCGAATTGTTAAATAAGAGCCGTTTTCAGGCCTTTAGTTTCAGTTGCAAAAGATATTTCTGTACCGGGGTCTAAAGTTATACAAAAACTCTGTCTCGTCGTCTGTCGCTCACTTAAAGATACTTTTATGTTGTAAAAATGGAAAAAGAAATATTGTATTAAACTTCTCACAGTGCGAAGTGATAAAAATGGCTCTTCTGAGTTCACAGCGCGGTTTACAGATGGTTCGTCTTTTTCGCGCTGAACCTTTTTTTGGCGCTTTAGACAAGCAAGACGAGTGGTTTGTGAGATAACGGTGTTTGGAATAATGATTTAAGAATCGATGTTGCCAGCTCGGAGACCAGTGCCGCTCTCCCTTTGCACACCCATCAGAGGTAGGGCATTTTTCATCTGAAGAGCCAGCCGCCTGTGCCTGGACACGGACACGGACTCGCGCCGTGCGCCGAACCGCCTCCAGTCCCCCTGCAGTCTGTGTCCCCACTGTCTCTGCCTGATGCGGCGCCCATCCTCGCTGTCTGCCCGCAGGGGTCGGGGTCGAGGTGGCGCTGTTCCCCCAGGAGATGGAGTGTCGGTTCGGGGAGGCAGACCGGGACAAACCCAAGGTCTGGTGCAAGCAGAACACCACGCAGTGCTGCTCGGGCTTCGCGGTGTCCAGCGCGGAGGAGAGCCTGTACGGCGGGCAGGTGACCATCCGCGTGCTGCGGGACCAGAACAAGTTCACCGTGTCCATCGCGCAGCTGCCCGAGGGCGAGGGGCGCTACTGGTGCGGCGTGCTGAACCCCGACAACACCATGGTCAAGCTGGGCGAGGCGGACTTCTCCGACGGTGAGACCCTGGAGGCACCCGTGCCCGCACAGTCGTACAAACGCCACATGCATAAAACACGTACACGAGTCAGACCTGTTCTCTTCACACTCACTTCACACTTCACATTCAGATGCTGCGCAGCTATGATGTTGCTAAAAATATTTCTGAGGATTCCGACCTACGGAAGACTGAAAGCGAAGCCAAGAGATTGGAGGATTTTTACAATATCCTTCGATTTACCGTGCATTAAACAGCATTAGAATCTACCAGTTGTTGGGAATGTGTGCGGGCGGAGCCCTTCCCAGAGCTCGCCTCTGACGCGGCCGTCCTGTCCTGTCGCGCAGGTGAGGTGCCGGTGTGGGACATCCTGCGCTGGGCGCTGCTGGCCGCCCTGCTGCTCAGCTCTCTGTCCAGCAGCCTGTACGCTAAACGTGAGTCCCGCTCGCCTCTCCGAGCACCGGCTGCACAGATACTGACAGTGTCCGTGTCCGGCGCTCTCTAACCCAGCACGGCTTCTTGTCTCTTTCTGTTACAGGGAGAACCGGGAAAGAAAAGGTACGTCTCTCGTGTCCTTCTCCTTAATAATAATAATAATTCTACTACTAATAATTATAACAACAAAGCATAGGTGACACCTGCTTATTACTTGGTCAATTGGTCCTTCCTCATTTCTTTAACAGAACTTTCTGGACATTAAAATGTAAATGGTTCTGGGGCCCATTGTGATTAAAATGCTGTAGAAATTCAATGGTATTAATATTTTATTATCACTAGATAGGTCTCGTATCTGAAGCTTGGTACGGGTAACAGACGCGTCTCTAGCCTGCTCTCTGCCGCTGTGTTTCAGAGGGACGAAGCCCCCTACGAGGACGTACAGATGATCAATCTCAGCGCCAAACACGACTAGGGACCCCGTGACGTCACCCCGCGGCCCGCGGTGATGCCGGCGGAATGAAGGGCGAGCTGGGAAATGGGAGAGGGGTGGGGAGGGGAGCAGGCTACCCTGGTAACGTTCATCACTGGACAGATTTGGGGTGGTAGTGTAAAACAAGGACTCTGTCGGTCCGCCTCTAGTTGTATATATGTAAATATATATATATATTACGCAGAGTAAACAAAGTTAAGCTTCCAGTAAATTATAAGTCGGACTCATTTTCTATGTAACTGTGCACGTTTAACGACATCAGCTGATAAAAATCTCTACTTCTTATTTTTTTATATTGGTTATATGTTACTTGCCTCCACAGATAGGAAATGTATAAAACGAAATTTATGAGCAATATTCTGATTCCGTCTAGGAAACGTGATGGGTGCACTTGCGCCGGCTTCCCACCAGGGGGCAGCATCGCTCTAATGCTGAATTTCATTTCTTTCTTTAATGTCCGTTTTTATTTTTCCGTGCTGTAGCTCATATGGATGGCCCACTGTCCTGCCTGCTGCCTGCAGCTCCAGGGTCCTGGGTTGGTGCCTGTCTGTGTGGAGCTGGCGTGTTCTGTCTGTGTTCAGTGGGTTTGGGCCGGGTCTCACCGCCCACAGACAAGCACATTAGTCTGGACTGGCTGCGCTACACTCTCCCCCTGCGGTTTCTCCTGCACAGAAAAACGCTGGCTGATCCCCTCCAGCTGCAGAGTCTCCTCAGGGCTCGCTGTGCTCTGCAATGGCTTCTGAGCTCTCAGTTGTCTAATCGGTCCTTTAATTGAAATTTTGATTTGATTCATTTGAACGCTTCACTTTACAATTCCAGATGTTAACATTTTAAACTTTTACTGTTTTTACAGGCAATTTGAAGCTGTCAATTGCTTCAAATTGCTGTCAAGTAAATCTTGAGCTGCTGAAAACAACAATTGCATCCTCAAAGAGCAAATGTCCACTGCTGCAATCTGAGTTCCTCCTAATAAAAAGGTCACTGAGATCTCCAGGTGTTGCTGTCTGATTTCCGATGTCTGCGATGCCTCCTCCACAGTGTGCTCTCGATGGGAATGCTGTGCTCTCTCTGCAGTCTCTTGCTCACTGAAGAGCAGGGTTCCCGGGACCACAGAGCTGAGCAGAGCTGCCCCAAGGCCTTCAAGAGCAGCAGTGGGCTGCCCCAGGTGATCAGACCTATTAAATAACCAGTCCAGTTTCACCTGCTGCCCTTGAAGGCCAGAGCTGCCCATCTCTGCTGTCCTTTCAGACACGAGGGGTTTGGTGTAGAGAGCACCTGGGTGTGGCCCACCCTTCACAGCCCGGTGCATAGAAGGTGATTACTCAGGCCACACGAACCTCTGCTGTGCTCACGAGCTCATGAATTCTTCGCTTAAGAAGATGTTTTCTTTCCTGTTTTGGCAGGAAGTCATTGGGTATAAGAAACCTGCTCTGAGCTGGTCTTATTTTTTTTTCAGTTTAGTTGACCTAGTTGAAAACGGCACTCGTGATAAGTCTAAAAACATGAAGTCGCGTGTGGCTGTTCATGGCTTAATCCCTGAGCACAATGAGGCGTAAGGGTATTGAATGACTGACGTTGACTGTTGTCTCGATGGTGCTGAGACCCTATCATTACCGCTACGAAACCACAGCACAGATATGACAAACTGCAAGTGTACGCAGTGACTTCCCCTTCACCTCATTGCAGATACACACTCTGAGATAAGGGTTCAGGTTTCTGAGTGCCGGAAACACAGCACCAGAATATTGTTTGCCTCTGGCTGCCCTGCCTGTCTAAATATGAAACCTGAGTCCTCTCAGCGCTCAGCACCTGCCAGACTTTGATCTCTTTAGGCTCCAGAGCTTGCTGGTGATCTGGCACGTTCCTGGGTGCAGAGGCCTCGTGGGCCCCACCAGTGCTCCCCACTCCAGCCCTTTGCCCCCAGACACCTCTGTCCAGACTCGCCAGCCTCCAGCCCTGCTCAACTGCTCTTCCCTGTTCGTTGCCTGAAGCAGGCAGGAAGATGTGCGGTTTCTCACAGGAGCGTCTCGGGACTGCGCAGACCTGTGTATCTGGTTGCGGCCGGCAGGTGCTGAGAGGCTCTGTGGGAACCGCGCTGGAGCGCCCTACAAGCCTGCAGCAAGTCTGGACACACCTGGCAATGTGGGCACACAGGTGAGGTGTGTCGATTCCAGCTTTTGCTTCCTTGTTTACTGAAAGGCTGCTGAGAACAGGAATTCATGAGAATATTTATTTGGCCTGCATTCCAATACCACTGATCATGAATGCAGTACAATGCAGAGGCCAGGTGTGGTTTGGCTGCCTTGTTCGAGTGTGCCATTTCTCTTTATCAGTCAGTGAAAGGAGGCTCTAGCCCACAGATCACAAACTGCTCTAGAAACCTGAGGACTCAGCTATGGGGACTCATTGAAAACATGGGCATATTTACACATGCAAAAGCCTCTATGGAAAAGATTTCCCACTAAGTCAACAAAGAATTAAGAGCAGCCTGGGACAATTGGGGGTCCACAGGAGAGCAGCCTGGGACAATTGGGGTTCCACAGGAGAGCACCTGGGACAATTGGGGTCCACAGGAGAGCAGCCTGGGACAATTGGGGTTCCTTGGGGTTCCACAGGAGAGCAGCCTGCGACAATTGGGGTTCCACAGGAGAGCAGCCTGGGAAATTGGGGTTCCACAGGAGAGCAGTGCCACAGGAGAGCAGCCTGTGACAAGTGGGGGCCCATGGGTGAAGCAGGGGCCCACAGGAGTCTCCTGCTTTTGGACGCTGTCCAAACCCTCAGGAAAATGAGATTCAGGCTCAAGGTACAAAGCTTGCTGAAAGGCCAGGTGAAAAGGGGAGCAGCATGGAGTTCCCCTTAAGTGCTGTCTTAAGGAAATTTCAAGTTGCCTTTGCGCAAACCCGAAATCCAGTCAGAGACCTTTCTTAGGGCCCCGCGGGGCTCAGCACACTTTCTGACACTCTTCCAAGGTGGAAGATTTCCTCCCGGCCTGAGGGCAAGAGCAACAGAGACAGCTTCTTCCACGGAGCGAGAAAAGAAGACTCCATCAATCACGGCCACGGGTCCTGCTCCCCCCCGAGACCCTGCCTTCCTTCAGACACCCTGGCAGCTCTGTGAACGTGAGACCAGGAGAGCCCCCTTATCAGGGCTCAGGCACCCCGTCTGGTGGAGTCCCCGGGGCGTCCTGGTGTGTGTGTGTGTGTGCGAGCGAGCGTGCACATGCGTGTCATATGTTGCAGCCCATTGTCAAGACCTCAGTCAGGATGAGCTCACTCATTCATGAAATCCCAGAATTACTGACGCAGCTGGTCACAGGCAGAACGATCCGTGCGCTGGTCCAGAACCACTCACTCTGGACCCCTAGCTCCCACCTAGAGGACAACAGCTGTTCCACTGTGGTTTACAGTATATGTCACAAAAAACTAATAAAGTGAAGGGACATAATCAAAATAAAATAAAGTGAAAAATATACCTATTCCACCCATGGTTACTAAAGGTAAGCACCTGAAAAACCTGGGCTAAATGCAAAGCACCTTCTGACAATTCACCTTGAATCACAGTTGTTGAGTAACAGGTGACTTTCAGTCTGTTGAGCAATTTACAACATTACGCATCTATTGCAACTAAGATAAAACTGACTGCTACTACAGCTGCTGCTGACGTCACTCTCCTCCTCCTCATCAACAACAGCCAATCGAAATGTTGCTGTCATGCGTGGGCCGGTATAATGAGGCTGATTGTTCCTTTGTTTTGATAATCCCGAAGCGGGGCGAGAGGATTAAATCGAGCTCTTTGCGGATCAAAGCGCTGACCAGGGTCCTGCTGCGCGCCCGCAGACCCCCACAGCCAGGGCTGCGGCGTGCCGGTCACCTGAGCACACGGGCCGCGGTATCTCGCACGCCAAGGCTGCGCTGACTGAACACCGCTGCCCGCGCTGACTGGAAACTGTTAAACACGTGTTTTAAATCAAGGCAAGGCGTTGCGTGCCAAGAAACTTTACTGTAAATTGTGCTTTGAAAGGTGTAAACCTGCGCTGATCTGTAGCCTGTGCTTTGCCTCTGTATTGTGGCAGCATGCTGGCTTTCCTGACAAGCAGACACCCTGTATTGACTGTCATTGTCTCTAAGCCAAGCCTCAACTCAGGCAGAAATATTTCAAATAATTCTCAGGCCCAGCCAAGCCCCTAACTACACCAAGCCTATTTATAAAACATATAATAAAGAATACCTTTTGAATTTTTAAAAGCCAAGTTTAAAGCAATCCAAATACTGATTTTGGACTACAGTCTTATTTTTGCTCAATAACAATTTCAATTTCAATTATATAAGTATTTCTGCTCTTTAAATAACTAATTTGTTTTTCATGATTGTATGTTGTCAACATAAATGCGGACAAAGTGCTCAATCTGATATATTTTTATTTTCCTTATTAGTTGTCTTGTTTAGACGGTTGTCTTAGAAGTATGGTGCACCCATGCAGAAAGGCAGGCGAACGCACTGCGCAGAACTCCTCTCACTCTGTAGGCTCTGCAGACCTGGTCGTGGTATGTCAGCATTGCAGATAGGAGTACTGCACGTCTCTAAAAATGCATGGAATTAATATACCAATTTGATACCGCCGTTCACGTAGCTGTACTCCGGAGCCGATTCAGAAATGACCGCACTATCAATAAGGATTTCTGAAATGTTGCTTAAGTGTCAGGATACAAAGGGTCTTCCGCGCTTTACACTCCTGCGTTATAATGCAGTCTGTGGGGGGACTGCAGTGGCCTCTATTACAGCAATACTGGGATGAGCATCAGACCCAGAGAAGCGCAGGGAAATCAGTAACCGCCGCCCGCAGGGTTAGCAGGATAGTCCGCGGGGTTCAGCGATAAATTCATAAGATGTCCGTTGAATGGCCGAGCAGTGCGGTTTGGTGCGTTCAGGGGGGATGTGTGAATATTAAACTGTTCTCTTGGGAAGACACGCTGTGCCGAGGTAAACTGGCTGGGAAATCGTGACCTCGGTGAGGTCAGGACCACGCGCGATCTTCAAGAGCGAGGCGGCCGCCCTCCGTCCACCGCGCTCTCTCGGGCGGGACTCAGGATGCGAGAGGTTACAGCAGTACATACCATCCCGGCTGTACCTGGGACTTTTCTGCTAACAGTGACGTGCGAGCCAGACTAAGACAGAAATTCTGTGGTCGGCAAAGAAGAAAAAATACATACAGTAGACGCAACTGAAAAACAAAATGAGTATAGAGCACCAGTTATGTTCAAATAGGACCGACACGTTCTTTGTGCTAGATTCAACAATAACGAAAATTAGCGTGTGTAAAGTGTGTGCAAAACATAATACAGCAGTACAAACAATACAGACGACGCGTTTTTTAAAAATACGAGACTTATTGCCACAATGATCAGTGTGCCTCTCATCTGGAGAGTGAGTTTGTGTTTCTGTATTTGTGTGTGCAATGTGCCTGTCATTCTGAAAGTGAGCTTATGTTACTGTGTTCGTGGCTCTTGTCCCCGTTTCCAAAAGCTCTGCTGTTTGTGCATCAGCTGTGGGTTTCCAGTCAGTGTGACACCGTGTGTCTTGTGTGTGATTTTATTATTAGGCCACGGACGTTTCTCACGTAAGGCTATTACAGAAACTGCACAGGAAGAACAAGAAAACCACGAGGAGACAGGCTGTGCTTTTGAAATTAGTTTTACAGTTCAGACGCACCGCAGACATCCTGCGAGAGCGAGAAGGAACATCGTGCGGGACATCATCGGTGTAAAAAAAAGCCTCTTGCTGAGGAAAGTCAAGAAAACGTCCGGCTGACTCTCAGTGACGTCTCAGCGCACGCAGACTGAAAGCCCCGTGTGAGGCAGGCTGTGTAGAAGGGTCTGTAACTCGGTAGGACCGGTCTGGCTAGTTTTTTTTTTCCCCTGCTTGCTCTGTGTTTTCTTTTCAGAAACAAAGCAGCGGAGTGTCGAAAGTCATTGGCTCACTGCTTCGAAATTTGCATTGACTGTCCGGCCCCTTCGCTAAACCTCCGAGTCTCTTACCTGGAACGTCGAACTTTGGACCAGTCAGCCGTCAAAGACTGAGCAGCACGCGAGCTGGGGGAAATTCGGCTTGCATGTGTACATTTTAAACAAACAGCCTGAATCTGAAAGGGGCCGTTATCTGGATCTTCTTAATTAACACCCCAGCGCTTGGATATGTCCCAACTGTAGCGTCAGAGTTGGTAAGTTAAAACAGCATGGTATTTTACATTCTTTTCTAAAAGACTGGCAGGACCTTTATCCCAGACATCTGTCAATCATTAATGGTAGGGATTAGTCTGGTCTCCGGACACAGAGTAGCGTTTTCTGTCTGGAATCTTTTAGACTTGTCTGGGTCTGCGATTCTTCAGGCGAATGTGAGTGACTGTTTCTTGGCTCGGTGGAAGATTCACAGTTGTACTGGGAAAATAAAATGTAGCCTGCAGAATCCCTGAATGTGTATGTACATTCCGATCAATAGGTGTGATTATGGTTGATTTCGAATGTGCACGCAAAGTTAACACAGACCCGCACCGTGTGTCAGCCGAACTTCGCGGCGGGTTATTCAGCTAGCGGCTCGCTCCTTGAATCGTTACCCTGAATGCAGGGTAGAAGACGCTCAGTTATTCACGCTTCTAGTTTTTCAAACTTCACACCTTAAACTGATTTGTCTCTCTCTTAAGAGGTTTTAATCGTTGAAAAAAAGCAACTTCTTGACGTGCGAAATGTTCGTGATCCTAGTTCCTGACTTGCGTCCCATTCATGCAATAGAACAGTAAGTTCTTTGCAATATTACAAAAGTGTTTTGAAACGTCAGCTGCAGTTCCGGAATTAAGTTTGTTTGACCCATTTAAACAGTGTAATTTATTCGTTAAGGGGTGTGTAGTTTGGACGTGAAGCCCGAGCGACAGTCTCCTGGTTTACAGCCAGCCCACAGCGGTCACATACAAAAGCCTATAGCATATGCAAGAAAAGGGATATCAGCAGTGTATCCATAAAAGACAACGAAGAATGGTTTTCCGTGAATTTATTTTTTTATTTGCTGTCTCTGGGATATTTTTGGTGAGAAAAGTGCTTACCAACTGCCAGACTAGTCAGAACACCTTCCTCCTCCACACAGAAGTCTTGCATGTTTATGCAGATCAGTGAGCAGTGAATATTTTCCTTGATGTCTTCTGTCCCTAACTCTGATATCTCCTTTGCCCTAACCTTGAGCTGTGCCTGACACTGAACCTGAGCTCAAACCCTGAGCTTTCCCTGGCACTTACCCTGAGTTCTCCCCAGTACTAACCCTGAGCTTTCTTCAGTACTAACCCTGAGCTGTCCCTGACACTAACCCTGAGCTCTCTCCAGTACTAACCCTGAGCTCTCCCAGTACTAATCCTGAGCTCTCCCCAGTATTAACCTTGAGTTCTCCCCAGTACTAACCCTAAGCTGTCCCTGACACTAACCCTGCGCTGTCCCCAGTACTAACCTTGAACTCTCCCCAGTACTAACCCTGAGCTCTCCCCAGTACTAACCCTGAGCTCTGCCCAGCACTAACCGTGAGCTCTCCCTGGAACTAACCCTAAGCTACTTGAGTCCTGTCAATGCACAGCTGCTCCCTACCTCCCTGCTCTGGCTTGAGAGAGCTCTGCTGATCATTCTCTTGTCTCTTCCTGCAGGAAACTGTCTTGACATGTCCTCTAAATCCAGGGTCCCGGGGTTTCTGATGGAGCTGCCGGTCCAGCGCAAGACTCCTCCTAAGACCTTCGAGGACTTGACTTTGGACTCGGGGTACGGGGGCATGGCGGGGTCATGCCGCTCCTCTGTCCTCTCACTGTCCCCTGGGCCTGGGGACAGCCTATGGACTCTGCCCGGGGACGGGCCTTTCCGCAGGGACCTGGGTGCTGGTGAGTGCCACAACTGCTCTGGGGGGCGACCTGAGGACCTGGAAAAGGTGGCCCCCAAACTACCGCCCCTGGAGCACCTGCCCTGGACAGAGGAGGAAGTGGGGGCTGTGATGAGGAAGTGCCTGCCCTCCTGGACCGTGTCCGAGGGGCTGATCCGGCGCGTGTCCACCTGCCTGGGCCGGACGCTGCTCAGGGTGGCGCGGGAGGCGCAGCGGCTCAGCCTGCTCTGCGGGAAGTGCACCCGGCACGAGGTGCAGACGGCCGCCAAGCTGGTGCTGTCCTGGTCGCTGTCGGAGAGCTGCGTGGCCGCCGGCGTGCAGGCGCTGTCCCTGTGCAGCATGAGCGCCGAGGAGCCCGACGTCCGCAGCAAGAGCGCCCGCTGCGGCCTGGCCTTGTCCGTGGGCCGGTTCTTCCGCTGGATGGTGGACGCGCGCGTGGCGCCCCGGATTCACGAGTTCGCTGCCGTCTACCTGACCGCCGCGGTGCAGGCGCTGCTGGAGGAGCTGTGCAGCCGGCTGGGGCGCGGCCCCGGGGCCGAGGGGGGCCCGCAGGAGGAGGAGGCGGCCCTGGAGCACATGCTGAATAATGACGCGGAGCTCTGGGGACTCTTCCAGCCATACCAGCACCTGCTGTGTGGGAAGACCGCTTATGGTAAGGAGGAGTCAAATCAGCTAGACCAGATCAGGCAGCTAGACCAGTCTTCTGCTCCCAGAGTTAATACAGGCTTGTAACGTGCTACTACACTACTTTACTTCTCTAATGCATCCTTTTGCCTGTGATACTAACCTACTCCCTACCCTGTACTGGTCTTGTGCACTGTAATCGGGTTTCTCTTTGTCTTCAGTGAGTCTGATAGAGCCTCACCTGTCATTGGGCTGGCTCTGGTAGAGCCCTGTAAGCACTGATGGAAACAGCAGAAATAGAAACAAACCCGAGCGCCCTTTATTAACTGGTTTTGATTAAGGCCCAGACTGCTCAGTGGAGGTTTTATTTATCTGTTTCATTTGAAATATTACAGAATTACCTGGAAACAATATTTCAATAGTCACAAGCTGAATCATGAGTTCTGCTCACCGCTGCACCAACATGTTCCTCATTGACAATTGTGCAACAACAGTGAGGAATCTGGTCCAAGTGGTGGGGCCGTGCTAACAGAAGGCAAACGGTCCTGCATGATCAACAGTAGAGAGAGCTGTCCCTGTTCCTGGGGCTTTCACTGCAGAGAGTTAAATTGGCGTCAGACCCCGTGGGTGTCTTGAGGAGTGGAGGTGGGGTTCAGGGGTGAGGGTCTATGGGCTAGGAGTCAGGGGTCGGTTTCTCTGGCTGATACTGAATCATGAGAATACTGACAGCCTCAGAGGAATACCAACTGCCTCATATCTCGAAACAGAGCCTCCCCCGTCTTCCTCGAACTCTCAGCACTGAATCATCCCTGTTTCCTGTTTCCCAGTGACTCCATGCTGATTTCATTCAATAAAGCACAAGAGATCCTCTGTCCTGCCTGAGGCTGAAATGATCTGGTCAGAGAGGGTCATTTGCTCTGCCCCCGTCCGGCATACCAAAGACGACACTTGTGCAATCCTCAGTCTTCTGAGAATGGCTACAGGGGTTAGAATCCTTCAGGACACCTAAGACACAAAGTCACAAACTCTGGTATCAGCAACCCTGTGTTGATGTTGCAGTGGAGCCTGCTATTTCCTAGAATGAATGTGTTTTTTGCAAACTTAGAAGAGGGTGAAGGCAGTAGCTGCATGTCACAGGTTGCAAGCACACCTAGAAAATCCCGTTTTTTAAGTTTTAAATTAATGCAGATCCTGCACGGCGCTTACAGGCTTTTATAGCGCAGGGTGTAGAAGGCAGGACGAAGCAGAATTATTTAAAGAAACAGTAACAATGATTCCAAAACAAGGCCAGGCTGAAGAAGACTGGAAGGGGACACGAAGACACTTGAAAAGATTCCTGTGCTAACTAGAGAAAAGCCATTTCTGTAGGCATCTCTGTACTGTTATGTAACAGAAGAGCCAGTCTCACATAAGGCTTCCGTTTTAACCTGAGTGCAATTTCCGATGCTAGCTGCGCCATGGGAACTTGGATTAACAGATTGTTTGGCTTTACTCTGCGAAACTGCGCCCGAGGACGCGTCTTCGGAAACATGAGAGACAGAAGGGAAGAAAGCATCTTGCAAGACCGCGGGCCTCTGAACCAGGACCCACATTGTGTGGGCGTGCTGTTAGCATCACAGTGCAAGAGCGCAGAGTGAGGTTAGCGCTCCCGCGGCCTCTAGGCCAACTCACAGCTGTGCTGCATTGTTCTTTTTTTCAAAGTCTTCTCTTCCTGCGCCCACATGCCTGGTCTCACTTGGGTGAGTCTGCTCTCGTAGCCTCTGTCTTCAGCTCTCGCTCCGATCTGAGAGATACAGTTGTTTTCTTTTTCATTCTTCTGCCCCGGCTCTCCTCTCTGACAGTTCCAGCACTTTCCCATCGGAGCGGCTTGGCTCCGTGCCTGGCCCAAGGAGCGCCAGGGCGTGCCGGCTGCACACACTCCAAGGTCCTGCTGGAATGTGGAGGTGCGTGTGTGCAGCGTGGGCGGGAGGGGATCTGGGGTTCCTCTCAGTGTGCACCCCATTCCCATCACACAAGCTGTTGTCTCCTTGCAGAAAAAGGGGCCCCCTTGTACTGGGACTTTTTTCCAGGGCTTTACGTTCGTACAAAGCAATAGCTTGATTAATGGCCGGTCATTTCCTTTTTGTTTTAAATCTCATTTTCCAGCCTTAGCAAAAACACTAATCTGAGATGTTGCTGATTCTTAATCACTTAAAAAAAAAAGCCCAGATTGCGCATGTGGGACAGATTATCTGTTACAAGGAAATGAACGTCTGGGCTTTGCAGCCTTGGCAAAACCCAAGACAAGGACATGGATTTACAGAGGCAGGATTGGAGTGGCTGAGAAGCCCCGCCTCTCTTAAAGACCTTGCTGTCTTTGTCAGCTCTGGCCTCGTCCTGAACCAGCCAGCAGAAAAATGATGAAGGGCACGGAGGTCGAGCCACTGCTGAGTGAAGCTGTTTCTCACAAACAATGGGGTTAGTGGGCGAAAGGGGCTTTGAAAATAGCTAAGCTGGGCTAAAGCAAAGAACAAAAGAGCTGCTGTTGTGCTCAGATGTGCGGGGTGGCTGGCCGTGGCGTGACAGAGCAGGAACAGGAGAGACTGAGCCCACCGGCACAGAGCAGTTAGCTTAGCCAGCCCTTTTCCTGCTGGACTGTCCAGCGGGGATTAATCACAGCTGCCTGGAGCATGGCCACCACAGCTCTGGTGGGTTTGCTGGGTACACCTGGGTAAGCCTGCGTATGCCAGGCTAGGCCTATAGGAAAGGCACGGCCTCAGGCACCAGCGTTGCCCTCCGCCACGCGCCATGCCTTTAAAAGGTCACAGAACGGGATCGAGTCTTCAATGAATTGTGAAGAGTTGTAACTCACAAAAAATACACAAAGGACAGAAAAAGGATATACCCACAGACAAAACTAGAACTCCTGTCAGAGGGAATGGCAGGGCATGAAGCACTGAAGACGGTTTATTTTCTGGCACACGCGTGCTGGAGTCTCCAGAGGAGGCAGAGGGAGGGGGAGTGGGAGGAGGAGAGAGTGGCGGGGTGGAGAGAGTCTTTTCGCTACTTTCCTCCACAGGAAACTGTCACATGGTCCCCCCCCTCCCCACTGTGCTGCTATTTTTACACCCCCAGGTGGAAACTACAGCATCTTCCTCTCCATCTCATGATCTCTGTAGGATCTGTGGTAAAAATAAATCTCAGTCAGAGTGACGTGGCACAGATTACGAGGGGGTGCACCTATCTCCTGGGGACTCCATCAGCCGAGTGACGAATCTAGAGGATAGAGGACTGAAACTGAACCCCTTTTGTGGTTATATTGTGACCTCATTGACCTGAGAATCCCCTGTCTCGAAAAAACAAACCTGTGACCTGTGTGACCTCTGGGACTGGCTGCTGTGTTGTCAGAGGCAGGCGAGCAGCTGTCCTGCTGGCTCATCTCCGGCGCTCCTGTGTCAGTCTGAGCACCAGATAAGAGCCAACGCTCTAATTTCACTAACACCGCCTTGATATTTACGGATGCTGACACCTCGGTTTCAAAGGGAAAAGAAAACTGGAAAGTGGCTGTCTTGGTGTCATTTCTAATCTGCTTTTTAAAACGAATCTGACCGTGATAACGTGTGAGGTAAGGAGCAAGATGAGGTCACTTCCTGGAAGCTGCTGGTGGTGTGCCGCCTCCAGGCCCGACACAACCTCTGGCTCCAGAGGGCGAGCGCGGCCCGGGTCTCGGCTCAGTGCTGTCCTGTCAGGTGGCCCGGTTCTGGTGGAGCATCAGGGGACCATGAGGATCCTGGACTGAACTGCCTTTCCCTCACGGACAAGAGAGGTGCATCTCCTCACAGATCGAGCTTGAGAGATCACGTATCGGCAGAAAGTCACCCTGTCCTTGACTTTTCCACTCAACAACGTTCTTTTCTTCCGTTTCTGTGAAATAAGGCCAAGACAGGCTTAGGCTGAAAGGCTGTGATGTCATTTTCTCCCCAGTGGGCAGCAGGATCTGTGGGTTTTCCACAGCATTGTGGTTCACTTCCTCTTTACTGTCAGCTCTGGGGTGTGATAGTGACAGACAGCTTTCAACATGATGGAACATCCACATTTACCTGGTGACCTGGTGTGCTCCTGCAACCGAAAGGATCTCTCTTCCCTCTTTCTCTCCGTGGGCTCTGTGGGAATTTGTGAACGCTTTTCCTTTCTGTTTTGAACCCATTGAATCAACAGAAATAAGTCTGACTCCCACTGTTACACAGTCCTAAATGCGGCCTGACCACGTTCCTCGGAGATGTTAACGAGACCATCAGGCTTTGTCATGTTTTTTGATTAAGGAAAAATGCGAGGGCATAAACTTTACTTTACCAGAAATTACATATGATCACGTCCTTGAGTATAGAATTTCCGAACTGCTGTCGCACTGGGATGACAGCACATCTGTGCTATCATTGATTCCACCCTCGCTGTTCTCTGACCCCCCTGCCTCTCCTGTTTCCCTAGACACCCCGGTCCTGCCCTCCTATGTCAGCGTGTACACTCGGGGGTCCCTGGGTCGCCCCGGCAGCACCTCGCCCCTGGGCCCCACGGAGCTGCAGAGCCTGGAGCACAGCCTGCTGACCAGCACGGTGGACAGCGTGGCCGAGCTGAGTGAGTACTGAGAGCCCGAGGACAATACTAATGTCATCCCTGACAAAGAGAGTGTGAAAGAGTCCTGTCTGGACTCGTGAAAGGAGACGCACCAGCCAGGGTGGGGAGCTGAGCCGAGCCGAGCCGTGGGTGAGTCACTCTCAGCTGACGGGCACTGGGGTGGCGAGAGAAACCCCCCAGGAGCTCCCACTCCCCGCGAGTCCCCCGCCTGCCAGGTCCCCACCCGCTGCCGCGTGACCGCGGTCTGTGAGCGCGTGAGCGAGTGTGCGCGCGCGTCAGGTAGAGTGGGCGGAAGGCAGGGAGGAAACGCTGTCGAGTCTGCGGCCTGGTCCCCAGACCGGCGGAGAGTCTTAAAGCAACAGAAGGGGATAGGATACAGAAGGATGTAAAAGCACTGTGAATTCATGGTAGATTCCCGGGGGACACTCTTCAGATTTCTGTCTGTAAACCCTTAGATCACTGGTCTATCGGCTGTGCTCTTTGTCTTCCCAGACATGGCTATAACTGTTGTTCTGATATCTCTCCCTCTGCCCCCCAGGCGCCCTGGTCATCAACGCCATGTACTGTTTACAGCGGCTGGGCTCTTGCAACCCCGGAGGGATGTTCCAGCTGCACTTCAGGCAGGGGGCGCTGTCCTGGGAGCCCGAGGCCCTGCACAGCTTGTTTTACTACACCCGCAGGCGCCCGGCCGAGTGGGACAGCGCGCAAGCCGAGCCCCGCCGCGTGCAGCTCACCAGCGACAGGTGAGAGCTTGTCCGGCTGCCCCCACCTCCCCCTCCCGCCAGGTGCTGCCGTCAGGGCTGCCTGGCGGTGATGTCATGGCGTCAGACGGCCGGAGCCGGCTGAGTGCTGCTCTGCCTCTCCTGCCAGCCCCCGGGGAAGAACCTCCAGAGAGGGAGTTTCCCGACGCACCTCTGAACCCCCGTCAGTATGACACAGAACACACTTCTCTTGCTCGCCGTTAAGGCTACTGATCAAAACAGGCTGCTGCTGCTAAGTCATCGTGCTTGTTGTTGTGGGGAGAAGAGATCCATATATAAGACTCCTTGTGTTTTCTAACTCTGCCTTGGTGTGGGGTGTGGCTGTTTGAGTAATTCTTGCAGGCAGACGAGAGTCATGAACAGCTCACAAGGCTCTGTCACAGTCTGGGCTGCAGGTCTTGTGATGTGGGAATGAATAGCGCCTTCGTGTGCTGGAAAGGCAGCAGGTAGCCTGTCTGTGGGCAGGACTGGGTACCTGTCTCTGGCCCGGGCCTACTGGTGCCAAGGTGCTATACCTCTGTCTGTGGGCAGGACTGGGTACCTGTC